TGGTATCTTTAACAAATGTGTATTTAAACAAAGGATTAATGGTTATAAAACTAAGTGACATGTATGATCTCTAGTAAATGATCTCCACAAATAGAGGAGCTTTTCTTTCAAAAGAATAATACTAGTTGCAAAATAATAAATATCAATCCTATAGAGAACAATGAAGAAGAATTTATAGAGAAGCAAGGAAAATGAAGTTTATTTATTTATTTTTTTTAAATATATTTTATTGATTTTTTACAGAGAGGAAGGGAGAGAGATAGAACGTTGATGAGAGAGAAACACTGACCAGCTGCCTCCTGCACACCCCCTACCGGGGATATGCCCGCAACCAATGTACATGCCCTTGACCGGAATCGAACCCGGGACCTTTCAGTCCCCAGATCGACGCTCTACCGCTGAGCCAAACCGGTTTCGGCAGGAAAATGAAATTTAAAAATGACATTCACAGCATTTAAAACATGAGAGCAGGAAGATGATACCATGCAAGTTGGACCCAAGTCCAAAAGTAACAATGTCCAAAAGTAACACTATAAGTACACATCCTGAGGTAGGTGCTGATGGGAAATCCTGAGGTAGGTACTGATGGGACATTAGACAGCTTTTTCTTGAATTTTGCATATGTTCATTCTTGAGAAATTAGAAAGGCTCTGACCCAGTGTTTTCCTTACTAGATATTTTAGAGCCACAATTCTTGAAAATGCTCTCTCAGAGAGAAAGTGACCCAATCTTAAGGGAATCCATTAGCATTTAAAGGCCCAGAAAGGTCCTAGTAGGAATGAAAACATCATATTTTTAGAAATTTATTTGAACCTGGGGCCTAATTTTATGTTACCTGTTAATATCACCTGTTAATATTTTCTACAGATCCTTTGTTTACAAAATTTTTTTTCTAGAAGATTAGATCAGATTATTAGAAATCATATGTTTGGAGACAAGCTCAGTTAAGTTTGCCAGTTCTCTGGCAAATACATCATGACATCCATTTCTTCTTCCATATCAGGAGTTGGACTTGCTTTCTTCAAACCTCTTTCAAATACAAAATTACATAATTTCAAAGTGGTTAAGAGCATATATGACATTCATGTCCCTAATTTATTTTTAGAAAAATCTGAACTGTGACAATAAAGTGCTTATGAACTTTTACTGCTTAGATAAAATGTTTGTAACCCTCTTAATATATTCTTAATTATGTATATATTTTTAATGTACAAATATTCCCTGAGTGAATTATCTGCTTAGGGATTTTTTTTATTGACTTCCCCATGGTCTTTTGGTCTCTTTGAGTGTGTCTAATTATACTAAAAAAGCTAGATTTAAATTATTTTATATGTGACCCATTCTCCTCCTTTCCATTAGCATGGATAATCAAGAATTCATGGCATTATGGATTTTTAAATGTCAGAGATTGTAAAGCTGTCTTGCCTATTACAGTAAAAACTTCATTAAGGGCTATCATGTATTCCAAGTGATGTGTAATTCAAAGCAGCTGCACATCCACCTCCCCCTCTCCAGATGTACTATTGTCTTTTGAATAAAAACGTCAGATAATCTAAGTACTCTTTAATTTGGAGCCTAGTTTCTAGGTGCCAGGAATTTCAAGGTAACTATGTTTTAATAAAGTTAGTATGTCTCCTTGCCATGAAACTCATAAAACATGGTGCTTTCCCCTGGGCCCATGTGCTTTACAGGAATGGCTCTTATTGGAGTGATTGTTCAGCCCGTAATTATGTCTTTCCTAAAGCCTTATATTTTAGCCTGGCACTTCAGAAACACATCAAATCATATTTTTTATTTTTAAATATTTTTGGTCATAGTAAGAAAGACTCCCCTTTCTCATTTTTGGGTCTGGAATACCTCAATTTTCTATTGAAGTCATTGTGATTTTTTTTTTTAAAGGTGACACATATCCCTGAAATACAAGTTTTTTTTGTTTTTTTTTTTTGTACTTACATGTCATAAATTAAAATAATGACAGTTTCCTAATAATAATGCACATGCTTTCCTTGCTATTCCCAGAGCAGTTAAATTTAGGATGGAGAGAAAATAAGATTAAGTGACTGTGGGAATGATGAGAAACTAATGGACACGGAGTATGTATCTTTAAAGATCAAGCCAGGAGCAAATCTAGTGTAAACTGTTCTTCTTTTATTCTATAGTAGCCAAGGACAACTTAGGCTAAGATGAAAATAAAAGCTGACTTTAGATCCTTCTTGTCTTCCTTTGAGACATCGTGTTGTTTTTTTGTGTTTTTTTTTTTAAGCTGGACTTCTCTGTCATCAATAATTTTGTGAATCACCTTTTACAAAGGAAAGATAAAAACTCATCCTTCTGTAAACCCTTACACATCACAAAAAGACGTATGTGTGCTTCAAACTTAACGGTTTTTGGCACACTAGCTGCATAGCACTGCGGCAGGAGAAAGGGGTTGGTGGCAAGTGTATTTAGGATGAATGCCACCCACCATCCAGTAATGGTTTAAGTAGAAAGTAATCAGAGGGAGACCACAGCAGCTACATTTCAACCAAAGATATTCTAGGCTTAGGACAATAAATAATTGTAATCAGGTATGTTCCAAGTAGCAAATAGGGCTCTAATGCTATAACTCAGCCTGAATAAGCACTTGGAAAGTCTGCCGGATCAGCAGCTATTCCATATAAACAGCATACCCCCTGACCCTCCATTAAAATCTGGACCACGATTGGTACAGAGAAGCCCATGTGTTGTGAAATCTAAACACCATGGTCTAGAAAACATATCTAATTTATTAACGCAGAGAGAGTTTTTTCACTTACATCAGAATGTATGACGAAGAGTTACAAGTTGAAGGGTGTTATGGAAACGCTGATGTGGATAAAGGAGAGAGACGCACGTGAAAACCTTAGCACCTTTCTGGAGTCTTGCCTTATTAGAGCCAGAACTGCCTTATAACAAGGTCCTTTTACTGTGTTAGTAACTAAACACTCTTGGAAGGGGTCCAACATGAACCACCTCTCCAGGAGTTCCCAATGTGGTAATATGACACTTGAGCGTCCACAAAAACCAGTGTCCACATTTGATGAATAAAGTCATTAGGACAGTCTCTAGGATGCTAAAGGAATTGTTTTTCTTATCAGGGCACACAGCCTTGTATATATGCTCCACGCTGCCATTCATCATTTCAAGAGAACCTGTGGCCTCCGTATCAGAGTTTATCATTTGATGGTGTAAGACTATAGTGAGGCTGATGAGGGACACTTTGAAATTAGGATGCACGAAAAGAGTTGAAGCCAAAAAGCACAGGGAGCCTGAGTTGTTCAAATCCTTATCCATCTCCCACTCAAGGTTCACTCAGCCTGAAACAAGCATACAAAAAATATGCAATATGTGTGAATGACACAAACTCACATTCTACCTCCAAATTTTGTGATTTATTTTAAAGATCAAACTTGATACAAAAAAAAAAAAATGCTATTCATCTCTTGGGAGCTTCAGCTACACACCCTGGGAATGTTACCAAAGAAAATAATTATCAAGGTAAGAGTGATCTGTGTATCTTCGCGAATCCACCTGCTTTGCCCACTTAATATCCTTTTAATTCTTATTGCTCCCACACAGCTCCTTCCCTGAGCTCTGCCCTCAGACCTGCACTAAAAGTCAACAGCTTTCACTGGTGTGGTCAGCTGTCCCATGGTGGGTGTACTGTGGATAACCCAGGGCGGGTTTCTGTTTCCTTAGCAGAGGCCAGCTCCTTATGGATTATGCTCGTGGCTTGAAGAAGAAAGCGAAAATCTGGTTCAGCTCAGCCTCTAGCTAAAGACTTCTGCATTAGAAAGCATAACTCACATTTATTGTAAATGTCATCATGCCTACGAGCTCCAGAGTCTATTTACAGTGTCAGCTGAGGGCTTCCCTTGATGGATGCTTTGGTTTTCCTTTTTTTTTTCCAGGAGTCCTTCATATCAAAGCTTTGGGAGATTTCTTTCTAGTGATTCTGACAGACCTGATAGAGCATGAGGCATGGCCTCCTGACTTGGAGATTCTTGGCTGTTTTTCAAGGTTCACGGAAGACGGGCTTTGCAGCTATGTCTCCCTGCATGGTGAAGGCGGTGAACAAAAAAAGTCTGGTGCATCCTCAAAGCCTGCACACCCAGTAATGTCCAGGAAACTTTCCCTCAAGCTGTTAGCACAGGAGAGGCAGGCTGTTAGTATAAGTTATTCCCTTCACCGCGGGGGCCAGGAGAAATCCTGGTAAGCCACCAATTTCAGTCCACAGCGATCTGTGTGCTGAAAAATGGGATGAGCAGACTTTCATCAGCAGATTCCAAGAGATGTTTACATCTATCCAAGGCTGCTTCTCCCACCCCCACGGCTCCCTGGGCGGATGGTATAGCCCTGTTTGCCCAGATGGGATTTAAGTAATAGAAACACCCCAGCACCTGGCTTAGTTTGTGTGTTTGCCACCAAGGGACTATCAAGTAAGAAGTGTCAACTATAGTAATACTGGAGCAAAGCGGGGGCCAGGTCTGGAGAGGCAGGCGGCTGTCTAAAAGACTTAGGAAGGCAGGCGTCTAGTTCAAGTGTGACTTTTCTCTCCGGTGCCTCGCGGTTGGCATAAAATGACCTCTGCCTCTAGGTAAACATGGCTAGAGCCCAGTCCAAGGGAATTTCCGCTGACCGACTTAGGAAACATCAACATAAGTACCCCCAGAGGTGATCCAGCCACCTAGGGCAAGAGGGCTCCCCTGGGCATGGGGTAGCCCCCCTTCTATCCCCAAGCAGTTCCTCCAGCCCACCCCCTCCGCTGCCCCCAGCCCCTCTTCTCTCCACTTCTCCCTCCCAACAGAGACTCTAAACCTGGGGTTCCCCCCACTGGCCAAAGGAGAGGTGTGGTGGGCAGGAGGGCTGGGAGGGCAATTGCGGAGGGTGAGGGAAGGTCTCTAGAGCACAGCAGGGGCTGCGATGGGTCCCAGGAGGCCAGAGAAGGGACAGCAGAGTGTTCGGGGAGAGGGGACACTCACCTGCTGCTCCAGCGGCTCGAAAGCTGCGCACCGTGTTGCCTTCGCGCAGGGCCCGGGAGCGCAGGGGCTGCGCGCTCCGCTCGGGGGAGCCCGGTGCCCGCGCCGCGCGGGTCCTGCCGCCGCTGTACCTGTCATAGAGCCGCAGCATGTGCTCCGACACCTTGTCGTGCAGCCGCAGCACGGGGCTCGGGCCCCCACCTGCGGAGCGGTCGCCGGGCAGGGTCTTGCTGAGCTCGGGCGGATGCTGCCTCAGCCTCCCTCCCCGCGCCAGGCTCACGCAGAGGCAGCCCAGCCACAGGCACAGCAGCCCGCGCGCCCCGGCCATCGCGGGGTCCCGGCCGCGCGTCCGCTCCTCGCGTCGCGTCGGTCGCGGGGGGACACTGCAAACTCCGGAGGCGCGAGGGGCCGGGCCGAGGGAGGTTTGGAGGCCAAACGAGATGGGGTGACAGCGCCCGGAGCCCGAACGGCGCGGGATGGCGGCGAGTCCCACTTGGTGCGCGGGCGGCAGGTGGGCGCTTCGCCGGCGGCGGCGCGGTTCTCACGGGCGCTGGGCGCTGCGGGCGCCCTCTTCTTCCCTCTGGCGCGGAGGAGAGAGCTCGAGTCGCGGCGTGTGTGGCCCAAGGTGATCTTGGGATCTGGATCTGCCGCTACCCTCACTCCCCGCTTTATGTTCGGGCACACCCGTCGGAAGCGCCGCGATCGCTGGGGACCCGGACTAGCTCTGCGTGGGGCGCGGAGCGGGCGCGCGCGGCCGGCCTGGGGGCGCTCTCTCGCCGGTTCCACGGATTGGATTGGAACAGAAAGCGGGGCGGCAGGCGAATTTTGAGTGTGTGTGTGTGTGTGTGTGTGTGTGTGTGTGTGAGAGAGAGAGAGAGAGAGAGAGAGAGAGAGAGAGAGAGAGAGAGAGAGAGAGAGAGAGAGAGAAAGGAGTCGGACTGGCTTCTTCCTCTGGCTGCTCTCTCTGCACAGCCCGCACCCAGTCTCGCCCTCGCCCTCGCCCTCCTGGCTACGGGGACCGGACTGCAGCGGGGACAGAAGGGTCGGGAAGTAACCAGCCACCAGCAGAGGGAGGGAAGGAAAAGGAAGTAGGAGCTGCTTGGAGAGAGGAGGGGGAAGGAGAAGACCTAGGAAGTAAGGGAGGGGTAGGAGAGACCTTTGTTTGTTTGTCTCTTTGTTTATTTTTCAGTGCCCTCCCAGAGCATTGGCTGCTGCGCCCTGGCCAGGGAGAGGGCAGAGGAAAAAGAAACTTGTTGGCTTCTCTCTCCGGATTCCAAATGAGAAGATCAAGATGTGAACACCAGCCAGGCCTCCTGCCGGCCTCTGCCGGTGGGGGGGTTCAGCCTGCACCTGTGCCTGTGCTGTGTAGCCTTCCTCTCTGGTCTCCCCAGAAGTGACCGTCACGGCTCAGCTCCTTCTCTTTGCCTTTCCCCTGGCACTGCCCACGGGAGAAAAAGCTGAGGGTCCATCCCAACTTAGAAACACATAAGTAAACAAGCAAGCAAGCACCAATGCCCGCCCCATTCCCTGGCCCCTCAAGAGGATTTCTGAAGGATGGTGTCTGCTGGTGACATAAGGGCTCTGGCAGATCCCAAATCCAGAGCAGGCTCTTAGAGCTTCCCAGTCTGAGCTCCCTCCTCCTTCGCCTCTTTTCTTGGCAGTAAAGGGGCAATTAAGCTACTCCTTAACCTTTCACCTGACACTTCCCATGCCTCAGGCACTTGTTTGTTTCATGCGTATTATCTTTTTTATTTTTAAAATATATTTCTTTATTGATTTCAGAGAGGGAGAGTGATAGAGAGATAGAAACATCAATGATGAGAATCATTGATTAGCTGCCTCCTGCATGCCCCCTATTGGGGATGGAGCCCACAACCCAGGCATGTGCCCTTGACCTAAATCGAATCTGGGACCCTTCAGTCCGCAGGCCGATGCTCTATCCACTGAGCCAAACTGGCTAGGGCTGCTCATGTGTATTATCTTTAAAAAATGTTCACAAGGAATTCCATTTTACAGATGAGGAAACAGACACAAGGACACTCATAGATGGCAGAGCTGAGTTTGAAACTTAGGGAGCCTGACTCCTGGGCTCAGGGGCTTCATTGTCACTTTATTACTAATTAGAAACATGACAGTTGAGGCAAGTGCTCTTTTCACAGTGCCCATCCTGGTGCACGAAAGCTCTCCGTAGATGTCTGTTGGAGCTGTCTAGTCCCTTTATGAGAGCAGAATAGGGTTTATTGGAAAGAAGATAGGACACGAGACCACACTGAGCTTCCAAATCTCAGTTTCTTCTTTGAAGGTGAATAAAACCACATCCCTTTTAGAGTTTTGTTTGGATGACATTAGAAAACAGTGCTAAAGTGACTGTCTACTGCTCAGCTTTTGGTTGGGGCCAGTTCCTTACTGTCCAGAACTTATCCCAAATGCAGACTATGTTCTGCATGCTCGGTTGCTTCTCAACCCATTGCAGTTTGGTTTGCCTTTACGGCCCCCCTTGGAACGGTTCTGCAGACAATAACACATCCTTCCAGCATGGTTGTGAGGGTTAAATGAGGTCACGAGTGACCTTCGCTTGGCATAAAAAACATAAGAGCTTTTGTGATTAATAATGAAGATGGGATTGCAAAATTCCATAGGCCCTGGGGATCTCTTCCTCTTTGTGTTTCCCCTGTGAGTCTTTGGTTCTTTCCCTCTCCTTGCTGTGCTCTGTCAGTTCTGTGAGCTGTCTCCTTCTCCTGGGCCTGTCTCCCGTGTTCCTCACAGCTTTCTACTCTGCTCTGGGAGGATGCCAAATTGAGAAGAAAGATCTTCTGCTTTGGTGGTCACCTCTGACCTTTAAATGTGTAGCTGTGGGTCTTCCCCAGCCCATCTGCATTGCCAAAACTTTATCTTCCTCCTCTTTGAAATCATTCCTGAGACTTCTCTTCCTTTAGCTCTGATGCAAATCTTTGCCCCTCTGCACTCAGCATGATCCTTCATTTATAGAAACTGTACTCTGGGCATATGTCTTCAATGCCTACTTTCATTTCTTCCTAGGTATATCTACTTCCCCTTCTTCGCACTTCTGTTTTCTTTTTTTTATTTGAGCCATGAGTAGAAAATAGCTCCTGTCTTACAGGGTTGTTGTAAAAGATGGTCCGTGTCAAGATACCAGTATAGTGCCTAGCACATAGTGAGTGCTAAAGGAGAGTCAATTATAAGCTAAGAGAGACACTTATATGTTTTTAGTCTAAAGCAGTGGTCAAGCCATATCCATCTTTATATTTTAGTGATATGCCATTGCAATCAGAATAAACAGGTGTTAAGCAGGCAGCATGCTCCCTAGCTGGGACTCTCAGCTCTAATTGCAGGACTGAAAAAGAATGTGTGGATAGAAGCCAGCAAATCCTGGACAGAAAGTATCTCATTTGCAACTAACTTATACCCAAAAAGATGAAGCAAGGGCTGAAACAGATGAAGCCAGCGGCATTTCTAGAATGGACAAATAAGTGGCACCCATGCCGTACCATCTGAGTGACCTCCTGGGGAATGGAATTGAAAGCACATTGAATTGGAAGTAATAGTTCCGTCATCAGAACACCTGCAGATACCATCTTGGGATACTTCACAACCACTGCACAGTGTTTCCTTTATCAAAGGCCACAGAATCTCAGATCTGGATAGATTAAATTGTCTCAGAATGCTGGCATCTTTACATGCCTTCTCCCACAAGGAATAAATTATTAGAATCATAATTCTGGCTGAACATCTGGCCTACTTGATGTATGGAGGATTTGCAGCTATTCAGAAAAAGGAATTCCAGAATTCAATAAGATGTTAGTACAAGTGCCTTGTGTCTACTTTCTTATTGGTATGCTTAATTAAAGTTTGCTTTACTTTTTAATAATAGCAATTTCTTATTTTATGCTAGACAGTGAGTGTTATTATTACAGCCAACTACTGAATCAGAGGACAATCTCTTTTCCTAAACACAGGAAAGTTAAAGGAAGACATTTTCCCTCTCCACCTCCCCAGATGTGACTGCTGAGGGTAGTTCTAGGGATCTGATTCCAGATGTTTTTCTCTGCATTTACACAGACATACACACACACACACACACACACACACACACACACACACACACTCAGATGCACCAAGAGCCACTGTAAACATCTCCCACCTGCATTTCCCCACTAACAGTGTGTCCCCCTGCTTCTGTGTCCTATTCAGCAGGTGTTTCATGCTGCAAATCCCCATTATTCATTTGTCCTGTATAAGCCATTGGCAGTTACTAAACAAAAGGTTCATAAAATCAATTTGGGATATTAGTGCATTCTGTTGAGTTGCGCTTCTTTTGACTACCAAAATCATGTGTATGTTTGGTGTGTGTTATGCATGTCTTTATTAGCTCCCTTAAGCACTATATACAATTCTTTTTTTAAAATCTTCCCATCAGAAATTATTATTAAATATATTTGTAAAACTACATTAACAGTTATGATAAAAAATATATAAGGAGAGTGTGCCTCAGGTTTGGAGGAGTTTACCTTCTAGTAAGTGAACCATAGAAACCCACACAGGACAATTAACAAATAAAGGGAAAAGTATTAATAGGATGGTCAATCATGTTTTGTAGACTAGGTCATAGTGTGCTGTGTCAGTGGGAAGGAGATCAGTGAGAGAAGGAGTAGCCATGAAAATTTATTGGAAAAGGTGTGGCTTTCAGTAGCCTTGAAAATGGGTAGAACTTTAAATGAGTCAAACTTTAAGGACTGGTCGTTTAGGAAAGAATAAATATAAGCAATAAGTTGCAGACATAAGAATGAGCTTTCCAGGTGAATAAGGCAGTGTATGTTGAGACAAAGACTAACCTGATTTGAATAGAGTGTGTGTTTTGGAAGTCACAGGAAAATAGAAATGAAATATAGAGTAGAGTGAGTTTATGGGGTATCTTGAATGCTCGATCAGTGGAACATAGGGAATCATAGAAAGTTTTTTATAAGAGAAGGCTTTCTAATGGCCTTGAACTCTCTAAATGGTCTAGAGAGTCTTAATAGCTAATCAATTTCCTGCCTTGGGAAGTATATTTTATGCTAGAGAGGAATTTTAGAGCTGATTTAAATATAAGAAAGTTGATTGAAGATATTTAAGACCTTATTAATTGCAAATTTATTTGGCTGCAAATAAAAACTACATATGTATACTCTATATATCTGATTCATAGCAGGTTAAACATATAGGGGATTATTTATCTTCCTGTTGTAAGAAGTCTGCAGTTAAGGGATTGTTGGTATTTGTTCCGAGGCTTGACAATGTCATTACTAGTGTTTATGTGACTCACATATC